GGGCACATTGGGTCGCGGAGGGACGGTGCGCGGGGCTCCGGGCCCCTCGGAGGCTGTGCCCAGCCGGGGAGAAGCAGGAGGGTTCAGCGCACAGCCGAGGGTTTTGGTGGGCAGCCTGGGGGAAGGTGCGCGCGAGCCAGGACCCTGCCCTGCTTTGCCACCTGGAAGTGAAAGGAATTCTAGGTTAGTGTAGCAGTTAAGGAAGGAGAAAGTCCCGGCGTCTGGAACACCCTCGGGCACGAGGTCCAGGAGCTGCAGGGTGCACCATGTTTTCTGTTGTCAGCAGAAAAGCCTCAGGTGCAGGAGCTGCCCCAAGGCCGGCCCAGCCCCAAGGCTCTTCCCAGCATCAAGGATCCCTGGTCTCCAAGACAGGCCCAGGTCAGGCCTCCAGCCTTGCTCTGGTGTGCCGCCTCCGTCTCATCTTCTAGCAGTCTCCAGGTCCCCTAGCGCATTGCACAGGACTGCACCCTTTCTCATCGTGGGAACAGCCTCAAGGGCATTTATTCCTACCCATCAGGCTCACCAGCCCTATGCTCTAGTTAGGATCCTCAGGTTACCAACCAGAAGTCCTGGCTAGGGTGGTTTTCCTTCCAGCGTTTTGTGAGCAAGGACTTTCTTATTTTCTGCATTGAGAGCAGAAAATCCATGATTCCTTGAATATAAGCAGGAGACGCTTGCCCTTGGCAATCCAGGTGGAGTAATCTTGAATCTCCTAGTTCCATGGCCTTGGGAACTTCAAAGCCTTCCTCCCAAAGACTTTTGCTGGCTTCCTAGGGGCTTTCCCTCTCCTCCTTTCCTAGATTTCTCACCCTATATAGTAGCTCATTCAGCACAACAGCCCGAGCTTGAAATTCCGTTCCTCTTCTTAATTCAGCAACAAGAAATTGTTCATGGTGAGCATTTGTGTTTGGTGGGCTTCATGGAAGAGTGGGGTGCGTTTCGGGAGGCCCTTGCTACTCTGCCCAGCCCTGCAACACATCCGTATTTCTCATCTTTATTTCTCTTTGCCTCTTTCTAGAGGAAACATTCCTGTCCCGGTTACTGCATAGAAGTTCTGAAATGCTCCTGACCTACAATCTTGCAGTGTTCTGCCATTGTCTTGTCAGGAGACCTTTTAAATACTTCTTCCAAATGTAGCAGTCTCCCTAAAAGGAATTCCATTTTTCCCTAGGTCGTTGCCCCTCCCTTATATTTTATAATCTCCATGGCAGCATGTAGAAAACACTTGAAAAAATGGTTACTGCTCTTACCTAAAATTTCCTGGGTGCTGTCACAAAGAAAACACAGGCTTTGTTTCAGATTATGAACCCCAGTTATCTATTGGGAGTTCTGAGCTTTTCAGTTTGTAAAAATCTCCAGCGTTTTTGCAGCCAGGTGCTAACTCATACGCTAAAGGACCTGATGTTCAAAGTCAGGCCACTGAGGCAGAGGACAAGTGATTCTAGGTGTCTGATGCTTGGTGGGCAGGACCTGGTGTGGCCTGACAGTACAGAGGATACTTTCTGGTTTCCCAGACTGGTGACCCTCTGGCTGTGATGTGAGCATCACCCAGACAGTGCTACTATGGGATGGCTGTTCTTTTTTGTTTGTTTGCTTTTGAGACAGGGTCTCACTATGTAGTTGAGACTGACCCTGAACTCACTGTGTAGCCCAGGCAGGTCTTGAACTCACAGTGATCCTCCTGCCTCAGCCTCCCAAGGCTGGGATTACAGGCACCACCACACCAGGCTGGGATGGCTGTTCTTGAGGCAGGCCAGTAATGCTGTCATTCCTCTACTGAGGATTTTCTCTGAGGTGATTCTGGAGCATGTAATGTCTTGTTAGTCTTTGCATCTGCCTTTGCTGACTCGATAACAGGGGCCAAAGGCAGGCATTGTCCCAACCGCTAGTACCATGACCAGAAATAGAAGCCAGCCTTTCCAGGGTTAGAATCTATCACCTGCAACTCCAACGTAAGTTATTTTATGTGCTGTCTTGTGCAAAGGTCAACTCAGGGAGTGAGCTCTGCCTGACAGTGCTCAAACCTGTTTTCATAGTACACGGAGATGATGAAAGAGCCCCTCAATATGGCAGAGCCTACCAAGGTGTCCAGTTGTTGGATGAAAGTTAAGGGATAAAACGTTTGAAAACCAAGATGGAGTTTACCCCTGAATAACCAATCCAAGCTTTGTAAGTGATTGTGGACATCTAAAACCCTCGGAGCAGCTTGGTACACTAACTCCATCTCCCGGGGCGTTCTTGTCTCTCATAAGCACATGGCAAGCTCAGAGACGATCAGCCATCTGGAGGAAAACATCAGACTGGCAATGCTGGCCCCAAGAAAAGCCCTTGGTTATTGTAAGCTGCCAATGTGGGCTTTTGCTCTGAAAGTGAGTCCTTCAGCGTTTCAGGAGGGAGCTGGGAAAGAAATTCACTGCAGGGTCTGCTATAGTTGGGAGTAGTAATATATTCAGAAGCCATTTGGGGAAGGGGTTTGCTTTTTAAGACCGAGCCACTTTGGGACTCAGAAGTTACAAACATTATAGTCTCTGGGATCACCCTAACACAGTGAGACAGATCTTTGCCCTGACTGGTGGGAGATAGCCATGGAGAAGGGGCAAGCCTATTTCAAGCACAGAGCTTAGTGGTCTGTTTGACTTTCCCATCTTCCAGTGTGATCAAGGAGATACCTTAGCTTGTGGAGTTGCCACATCCTGGGGTATATGGAAGAGGGACTTCTGGAAAAGGAGGCACCTCAGGAACCCATAGACCATAAAGCCAGTCAGAGAGAATCATGACTTGGGGCATACAAAAGGGCAAAAACACTCAAAACAGCTGGCGTGAATATAGCCCTAAGGCAGATATCACACCACGGACTGACCCTGCCTGAGTGAAAGGTGGTGCAGGACTCAGCATTCACAGCCACAAAATGGGTACACAAACAATGTAGGCACTAGTTGTGATTCCCTATCCTTCACCCATATCTGGTGGATTCCATTACCATAGAAACTACTCACCTAAATCATGGAGGAATTTTTTGAACTCATTTCTTTTTTTTTTTTTTTTGGTAGGGGTAGTTTTTGTTTCATTTTTTTCTATCTTTGACTCTTTTTATTAATTTTCCTTTCTTTGTTCATCTATTTCTTTTACCCTTACCTGATTTTATTAACTTTCTGTTATTTAATTTTCTTACTTAACTTTTCTCTTTTCTTTTCCAAATTTTACTTCTTTCATTTTCCATTCCCTAACCTCTCCCATTTTTTAAAAAAATTTACTGTTATGCTTTATTACTTTTTAGCTATTTAGTTGACTCTGTACTATTATTGCTGAGTTGTTTTTATTGTTAATGGTGGTATAGTTATTGCTTTTAGTAGATATTTACAAAATGTCAATACTTGGTCTGTCTTCGTGTCTCCATTATTACTGCAGATCTCTTGTCCACTGTGGAGGATGGTATAGTTGTAGCTATCATTGGTTCTTATGATATGTCAACATCCTGTAATAATCCCATTATTTTGCTGATTTCTTTTCTCTTGCTAACAGTTGCTAATTGTTGCTTTTCATTGGCTTTTTCTGTATGCCAATTCTGGTTTGTTTTTGTGTTGTCAACATTACTGGAGTTTGTTTTCTCCTCTCTGAGTGGTGTTGAGGGTTAAGCCTGCAGAAGAAAGTTGGGCACTAAAAGAACTTAAAATGTTCTAGTGAATAGGATGAGGAGTATAAATACCGAAATAACCAAATCCAAGGACATATCACAGGGAGGCAGAATCTAATTAAAGAGATCTCCACAGCAGTGACAGAGCTTCTCTACCCTAACTGATCTTCAACCAACAGTGTAAAAACAGCAGACACACGAGAAAGGTGGCAAGATGCCTCCAAACCTCTGTGACCCCCCAAAAGCTTATCTCATGGACACAGAAGTAAAAGAAGCTATAGGCAAAGAAATAAACCAAATGGTCAAAATGCTTGAAGCGATAAGATATAAGCAAATGCATAGGATGTTTAATGAACTCAAAGAAGATTTAATTAAACAGGTAAAGGATTTTGCCAATAAAGTACTCGACAAGCCTAAAGAAGAAACAAAATTAATTAATTGAGCTAAACAAGACAATACAAGACATGAATGGCCACTTGGTAAAGAAGTAGAAAGTATGAAAAGAAGACAAGCAGAAGCATGTGTTATGAAAAATTCAATGGAAAGTGTGGGTAGAGGACTAGACCAATGTGAGGACAAAATATCAGAAAACAAGAGGTACATAGTAGATCATCAACTCATTGATACCCTAAAAATGACAAGATGTTGTGCAAGCTTGATTCAACAACTGCTAGATGACAAAAACAAAACAACCCAACCTCAGCATTACAGGAATAAAGGAAAAATTGGAAGATGACTCAAAAGTTATAAAAAATTTACTCCTTACCTGCAGCATCTCTCTGACCTGCTGGTCGCAACACAGGAAAGCCACCAGCAAAGAGATCTCCCAGGGCTGGAGGTGTGCTTCCTCCTCGGGAGCTCACTGAGCCTCCACCTTCTTTGTTGGCTCCCTTGGAACCTTCAGAGACAAAAGGCTGGTCAGTGAGGCTTGAGAGCAGAATTGGCAGCTCATTCTCACTCTAGGCCTCGGTCTAACTCTAGGCTGCCCTCAGCAGCCACCCTTATCCTCTCTTCAGCATCCCCTTCCACTCAGCATTTCCCTGAACACACTGTGCCTTCCCTGGAAGACTCATGTGCCTAGATCTGTTTGCTGTCCTCTCTCTTTCTACCACAGAGCTGACCATTTGTAGCAACCACTCCAAAATTAACCAAGCAAAAAGATACCCGAAGACTGTTACTTGGTGGATGCCATCAGGGGAACTGGCAACACTTTGCAAATTAGAAAATTCAATCATGGTAGTTGTAGAGAAGTACCTTTTTTCAACTTGGCATTGGAAGGACAATACAGGGAAAACCCGCAGATCTAATTCAGTCACGTTAACTTCTTGTCTATAGAGCACTGACCAGAACTTCAAGCAGAAAGTGAAGGCCTGTAATGATTTCTGCTTTGGAATTTTCCTTCCCATATCTCCAGCTTTCAGGCCTGCATCCTCTCATGCTCCCTGGCACTATTTCTTTTATGGCCCAGAAAGGCTGGGGCATGGCATCAGTAACTCCAGCCTTCCAGCTGTGTATGCTTACCAACTGCAGAAACTGAGATGTTTGGCTTTAACAAGAACTCCTGGCAGAACTTGGCTATAGACGGAAGCCAATAGGCAGAAGAAATGAGGGCACAGTGCCCACTGATGGATGAAAGTGGTCAGAATATTCTGAGCACAGTTTTAATAATACATTGCTTCTCTTTGGAGTGATTAGGAAACAGGTGTTCCAATAAACTGGGTTCATTTGTTAGTTGAGCTTGACCAATTAGAAAGTGAGTCTAACCAGAAATTAATTTTTAAAATTATAATAGAGGTTGAAAATATTTCTTTAAAAATGTGTCTGTGTATTAACCTATATGTGGTACAATTGCATTTCTAGGACTACCTTTGACAATTATCATCATGCACCCATAGTAAAATATATGCAGATGCAATAATACCTCCCATTGCTAAATAGTTCTGCATATATTATTTCAACATCATAGGTATAATGTTATTTTGACAACATTGACAATAAAAGCGCATATTATTATCTCTCTCATTATGCAGATGAGCATATTGAGCCTCATAGTGGTTCTTTGATTTGCCTAGTATCAGCCGGAGACCTCAGCACAGATTGTCTGACCCATGCACAAGACTACGTTTACTCTGTCATGCTCTAGAAGACAGAGGCTGGAGGCATATGATCCTGTGAGACAGAAGTCTGAATCTTTATTTTTTCCTTGTGAAAAATTAAACAGAAACTGCATTTTAAAATATTGAGATTGTCCTTTTCTATCATTAAATTTGAGGACTATGTTGACACAGAGTAAATGATCTTTACATGCTACTCTGCTATAGGTACAAAATGGGCCACATCCATACATGAGATTATATGAAAAAAAGAATGAAATGCTGATGTGGATGAAGAGTGAAAACATTATGCTAAGTGAGGAAAAGCAGCCACAAAAGGCTACTTACGATAGGATTCCATTCCTATGAGATATCCAAAATAAACAAACCAACAGAAATAGTAGGTTAGTGGTTGCCAGTGGGTAGGGGCTGAGAAGAACGGAGAGTGATTGCTAATGGGTATGGGGCTTCCTTTTGGGGTAATGGAAATGTCTGGACCTAGATGGAGGGAATGGTTGGTCATAACAATATTGTGACTACACTAAATGCCACAAATGGGACATATTAAGATAGTAAAAATGATGAATTTTGTCATGCATATTTTATCACAATAAAAAGCTACCCCACTATGGGATTTTTATATTTTATTTTTAAACACCTGAAAAGTGATGGAAGACACGCATAGGCCTAAACCACCTACAAACCTGAAAAGAAAGTTCTGATTTTCTTGCCCACTTGGTCTGTCTATCAAGCAGGTCTGAGGTGGCCCTCGTGTATCCTGGGCCACAACTGCGGCCCAGCCAGGGGTGTTTGGCTATGCTCCACATACCTACCCTGTCCTGCAGACCTGATGGAGCTGCTCACTTACTTTCGATTTGTGGGGCACTGCGGTCATTGATCTGTGTGACTTTTCGCAGGCGAGTTCCTTGCTGGATATCAGCCAAAAGTGCACTCCGACCTTTTGGATCTGCCTTTCTCAAGCTGGAAGAAGTATCTGTGCTAAGCTGTGAGGGAATAAGAGGGATTTGACTATAAGAACATATAACATGTACAGAGAAGCAAACGCCCTGTCTGCTGGGATTTTCCCCAAGGTTGATCTCACACTTTCAGTTACCTATAGGTCTTGCTGGAGACTGCCTTGGTCCCTACCCACACCTGTCTCCCTGGAATCCAGAATGGAATCTTTCTTTTAGATGGTTCTGGCCAAATGCTCATCTTGTGCAAATAAGCCTGGAGGCCTTAGCAAGCCCTCTCTCATAGACCCTCTGCCCTTTCCTAGTTAAGCACCACCGACACACTTGAACTTCCATTCTGCGCATACCTGGTCCTACCACAGGTTCTGAATAGTCACCCTGCTTGGTGTCCCAAGGTCCCGCAGACCAAATCCTTGGCTGACCCTAGCTTGTTGGTGGGAATTTCTCCTGTGCCCTGCTTGCTCGTGGACTATTCTGAGCAGTACTGAGGTCTTACTTGGTCCTTTGGTGCTCACATCCTCCCACCTTTGGGTCTGAGGTGACCCGTTATGGGCCCATCATTTCTCTTAACTGAAGCAGATTTGGGCTATGGGATCTGGCATTTAGGGAGGAATGGCGACCTTCACATAATCTTGGAGCAGAGGGGAGAACCAGGGTGTTCAACATAAACGGCCCCAGAAGGGCCAGGGAATTGGAAAGAAAGGGAAGTCCGGAATTTCAGAGAAACTTTATGACTGTTTGCTTATAAAACTGTATTGGTTTAAGTGGAATTGGCCCCCCTTTCACAGGGGAGGAATCTGGGACTATGAATTCGTCTGTTTGAAGTCTTAGGGCTGGTTTTCCACTCCAAATGAGCTGAATCCCAAAAGCCATGTGCTTTTTACTTTGCAACATTAGCAACCAAAGGCACATACCATCTATAGAATATGTGTCCTACAGACTGATAAAATACTTCATAAATAAATTAGCAAAAACACCTTTTGCCCTAACTCTGCAAATAACCCTGAGATCTAGCTGCTTCACTTCCACTGTAGCTCAAGCTGACGTGCAGCAGGGGTTTCTATGGGTCATCAGAACCAGGGAGCACCAGAAAAAATGAATAGGACTCTAGTCAATAGGGAAAGAAGGGGCTGCTTTGGGACACACAACCAGGAGGATCCTCCAGTTAGAAGGTTTATACCATGCAGCTTTAGAGATGATTCAACACTTCTTAAAGTAAGAAATACTCCTTAGTCCCTCTTGTATAGGGAATACCATCTGTCTTTGGGTTTCCATTTAAATGTCACCATGTCAGATGCCTTTTCTGACTCCAAATTTAAATAATGCCAAATATTGTTCTCAGAGTGCCCTATTCTTTTTTCCACAGTCAAATCTGTCATGAGATATGAGTTCATATCTTGTTCTCTTGTGAAAAGTTTCCATTTGTGGCTATGAGTTTATCACTCCTATGGCCTCTCTATCAGAAAAATATTCTGTTTGTTTTGTCCACCAGTGCATTCCCAAGTGTAGAAGAGGACCTGGTCTAAGATAAACTCAGTAGGTATGTATTGGATGGGTGAATAACTGAATGAATGAATGAACTAGCTCCAGGGGGCATACGACACTGTTCTTGGTCTCAAGGGCATACACAAGTGCCTGGGACACAGGGACACATTGCAAGGAATCTGACCATCTATAATGCAGCATATGACTGAGCATCTACCATAGCCTACAGAGAGGAGGACCGTGGAGAGCTCAGAAAGAGTTATGTGTATCAGGATACGCAGACTTCACAGAAGATGTGAGACCCTGTGGTCCCTGGAGTGTAATGAAGGTTTATAAATCCTTGGTACAGTCATTTTCTATTTAGAAAAGACAAAGCATGCTTGCTAACTAGAAACTGTTAGCCTCTGTAGTATCACAGATTAGAGACAAAGGCCACTGTGGTTTGGGCTAATATGTGCTGCATCCACATTTTCACTGGCTGACTACAGCTTGGGTTATGAATCTTATGCAGGCTTTAAAAGGCACAAGCTCTAAAGTCCAGTTCTTGTTTCCTGGAGACATGCTTTTTGAGCCCTTGAGAGCGGCTTCTGGATGAAGGTCAATGAGAACTGAGAGCAAGAGCTCCTAATTCGAATTTCCTCGTAATATATAGATACATGGAATACATATCTAAGGGAACACATACAAGAGGGTAGTTAGAAGACAACATATTTTGAGATACCCTCTATAAAACATTAATATAAGCAGTCATTTTAAACTGCAAAATTTAAGTTTTTTTAGTTTCCTCTTATTTTACTTACAAGGACTGAAATAAGGACCAACAGAAACATTACGATCCTAGTCAAAAGGGCATAGAATATTTTTGCATGCATGACATTACAATCTCGGGTATGCATTATGGCCAGAGATATGGGATATGAAGTACTTTGTAATTTTCTTTCCCTAGAGAGACAAACAGCAGTGAATTATAATGATATTCATGGACCAACTCACATGACGGGGAAGGTGAGAGTTCAATGGTACATTCTTTTGTTTAAGGAAGCACTTGGAACGATGAGAAAGCCCTATGCATCACTACCCCTGGGTTCAGTACCCCATCTCACCTAATTCAGACTCAATTTCCTGTTTATTCCCAAAATGTGTCTCCTATTCCCTGATCCTGCTGCCCGTATCTGGTATTTCATGTGTGGTTATGAAAAATGTTGCATTGAAATAATGATTTTAATTTTAGTACCTACTTAGCACATGCCTCAGTAAGTTCCTGACATTACATGACAGATATGTTGATGATAGACTTGTTAAAAAACAACTTTCACATCAACAGGAGGATGTGACAATTTACATCATGTTTACATGATGTAGTTCAACTTGGTGCTAATTTTAATGTTCTCTCTCTTTTCAATTCTTTCTTTCCTGCTCCAGTGTCTACCTTGGTGATTTTCCACTAGAGGGCTCTTCCTCACCTGGCATAATATGGTACCCTTCCACCATCTGCTTTCCCACCAGGCAGGGAGGAATTGCTGCGTGGCTTAAGGACTCATGTATATTTAGACTTAATAGTTTTTACACAAAAAGACACTTTCATTCTCACATCGAAGATCATGCTACTCAAAGCAGTCATTTCTCTTCCATCAGCACTATTTATTAACAATTCAACTGTAATTTTCTTTTTGACAAATCTTTTAAGCCCTAAGAATTCTTGTTACTGTGGTTCCAGGATGCAGAAACAGGAGAGAAGATTCCTAAATATTCACTGAATGTTTTGTTCTCTGCAAAGCTGGAGCATTGACAACTTTACTGAAAATATAACGGAAGGAAAGAAAGCCACTCCTGGACACTTTTCCCATGGCAAATAAATACACCAAAAACAAAAACAAAAAAATCTGCAAAAAACTCAAGACACTTCAAAGAGCACTATTGCTATTTCTTGTTAACAATGTTAGTGAGTGTGAAAATCTGTTGGGTTGCACACAAAGCTTTGGTTTTCTCAAAGATGTAAGATGTAAGACAGTGGAAGAGATATACACATTAGCTCCCCTTGGGTGTAAAGCCTGAAAAATTGAAGTGATCCAGTAAAACTAGAAATAAAATCAAATGACAACAGAGCCAAGGATAGTACCTAAGAATTGATGAGGTGCCTGTCTTGTTATCTTGATGGATCAAAAAAAGCTTTGGAACATTTGTTTATCGTACCAACCAATGAGTCAACCTTGGCACAATGTTGTTTCGGGGAAGGCACGAGAGTTCAGCCCAGATTAAAACTTTGAAATCCGTGTTGTCTGCTATTTGTCATCTTGCCACCATATACTAGTCCTGCATCTTTCTGATAATGGTTTCTATGATAATGGTTCTGTGAGAAACCAGCCAGTTGATCCAACTCAAGCAGGTGATTTCTCTTAAAGATGATCTGAACCCAATCATTTCAAATACAGTTTCAGCTTTGCAGTCCTATTGTGGCTGCTAAACCTCAGAGTAGAGCGCAGGTTTTCAGGCACAAGACCTCGTTCGTCACGCCAGCCCTAAGCCTACCACGGCCTTTTCAACCTTGGGGCAGACAGATGTCAACAGCCTCCATACCTGTGTTTCATTCCCAAGTCTGGATCACAAGGACAGCCAGGAGTGCACTTCATCCCTCCCCCACCTACCATATTTTTGTAGAAAACAAGGAACTTGGGATCCAAAAGAGACCGAAATATTTTCAGAATGATACAGACTGTCTAGTTGGACCTGAAGCAATGTTCCTTGTGCCCCAAGTGTGCATAAGTCAGACTGTTCAAGAACAAAGCACATTGTGATCTAAGAGTTTTATCTCATTTTTAGAAACCTAATCGTGATTCAAGTCCATGAGCTGAAGAAATGGCTCCTCTAACCTTCTTTACTGAAACTTAATGTCTTAAACCAAGCTGTCCACATCCTGAGCATTGGCTTTCCTTGCACTGTGCTGCCTCTGTCATCTGGTGGTGAAGCTCAATTAGGGTTTTTTTCACATGGGCTCTGGGCCATAGGTGACCTTGGTTATTTACACCCCTAAAAGCATACCCATCAAGGTTATCTCACCCACTGAGAAAACTTTGATTACTAGATGTGGCATGCACTCTGCACCCAGGACCCAGAGGCTACCCCGGGTGCTCATCTTTTCCCAACAGCCAGTCTTTCTTTCTTTCTTTCTTTCTTTCTTTCTTTCTTTCTTGCTTTTGCTTTCTTGCTTTCTTGCTTTCTTGCTTTCTTGCTTTCTTTCCTTTCTTCCTTCCTTCCTTCCTTCCTTCTTTTCTTACTTTTTTTTTGAGGCAGTTGTCATGTAGTTCAGGCTGGCCTTGAACTCATGACCCTCCTGCCTCAGTCTCCCAAGTTCTGGAGTAACAGTCATGTCCCACCATGCCCTGTTCTGTGATGCTGTCTAAGTGCAGGCCAGCGTGGCCTCTGCAGTGCATCGCCTACTTGTCCTGCTTCCTGTCTTGTCCACCTCCACACAGTACCAGAGTGATCTTTATACGGACATGGCATTCATCGTGTCATTCCCCTCCATAAGACTCTTCGCTGGCTCC